ACAACCACCACCAAAGAAATACAAACAATTATAAAAGAATATTATGAGCAATTATATGCCAACAAATTAGGCAATCTGGAAGAAATGAATAAATTCCTACAAATATATAAACTACCAAAACTGAAACAGGAAGAAACAGAAAACCTGAACAGAACCATAACCAGCAAGGAAACTGGATCAGTAATCAAAAATCTCCCAAAAAACAAGAGTCCAGGGTTGGATGGCTTCCCAGGGGAATTCTACCAAATATTTAAAGAAGAATTAATACCTATTCTTTTGAAACTGTTCCAAAAAACAGAAATGGAAGGAAAACCGAAACTCATTCTATGAAGCCAGCATTACCTTGATCCCAAAACCAAAGACCCCTACCAAAAAGGAGAATTATGGACAGATATCCCTGATGAACACGGAGGCAAAAATTCTCACCAAGATCCTAGCCAATAGGATTCAACAGTACATTAAAAGGATTATTCACCACAGTCAAGTGGGATTTATTCCTGGGCAAGGATGGTTCAACATCTGCAAATCAATCAACGGGATACATGACATTAATAAAAGATCAGAACCATATGGATCCTCTCAATAGCTGAAGAAAAAGCATCTGACAAAGTACAGCATCCTTTCTTGATAAAACCCTCCACAATGTAGGGATAGACAGAACATACCTCAACATCATATAAATCATATATGTATGAAAGACCCACAGTTAATATCATCTTCAACAGGAAAAAAAGAGCTTTTTCCCCTAAGGTCAGGAACACAACAGGGATGTCGACTCTCACCACTGTTATTCAACAGAGTCCTGGAAGTCCTAGCTTCAGCAATCAGACAACAAAAAGAAATAAAAGGCATCCAAATCAGCAAAGAAGTCAAACTTTCACTCTTCACAGATGACTTGTTACTCTACGTAGAAAACTCCAAAGATTCCAGGAAAACATTGCTAGAACTGATACATGAATTCAGCAAAGTGGCAGGATATAAAATCAATGCATAGAAGTCTGGTGCATTTCTATACAGTAACAATGAAGCAGCAGAAAGAGAAATCAAGGAATTGATTCCATTCACAATTGCACCAAAAACCATAAGATACCTAGGCATAAATCTAACAAAGAGTTAAAAGATCTGTTCTCTGAAACTATAGAACACTTATAAAAGAAATTGAGGAAGATGCAAAGAAATGGAAAAACATTCCATCCTCATGGATTGGAAGAACAAATATTGTTAAAATGTCTATAGTACCCAAAGCAATCTACACATTCACTGCAATTTCTATCAAAATACCACCAGCATTTTTCATAGAGGTGGAACAAACAATCCTACAATTTGTATGGAACCAGAAAAGACCCCGAATAGCCAAAGGAATGTTGAAAAAGAAAACCAAAGCTGGAGGCATCACAATTCCAGACTTCAAACTCTATTATAAAGATGTAATCATCAAGACAGAATAGGACTGGCACAAAAACAGACACATAAATCAATGGAACAGAATAGAGAGCTCAAAAATGGACCCTCAACTTTGTAGTCAACTAATCTTCACCAAGCAGGAAAGAATATCCAATGGAAAAAAAGACAGTCTCTTCGACAAATGGTGTTGGGAAAATTGGACAGCCACATGCAGAAAAATGAAACTGGATCATTTTCTTACACCATACACAAAAATAAATTCAAAATGGATGAAAGACCTAAATGTGAGAGGAATCCATCAAAATCCTAGAGAACAAGGCAGCAACCTCTTTGACCTTGGCCACAGCAACTTCTTGCTAGACACGTCTCCAGAGGCAAGTAAAAATGAACTATTGGGACTTCATCAAGATAAAAGGCTTTTGCATAGCAAAAGAAACAGTCAACAAAACCAAAAGGCAACCTACGGAATGGGAGAAGATATTCACAAATGTCTTATCAGATAAAGGGCTAGTATCCAAAATCTGTAAAGAACTCACCAAACTCAACACCCAAATCCAATCAAGAAATGGGCAGAAGACATGAACAGACATTTCTCCAAAGACACAAACGGCTAACAGACACATAAAAAAATGCTGGACATCACTGGGCATCAGGGAAATACATACAAATCAAAACCACAATGAGATACCCCCACCTTCACACCAGTCAGAATGGCTAAAATTAACAACTCTGGAAATAACAGATGTTAGCGAGGATGTGGAGAAAGGGGAACCCTCTTACACTACTGGTGGAAATGCAAACTGGTGCAGCCGCTCTGGAAAACAGTACGGAGGTTCATCAAAAAATTAAAAATACAGCTATCCTACAACCTAGCAACTGCACTACTAGATATTTATCCAAAGGATAAAAAAAACAGTAGATCAGGGGGAACATGTACCCCAATGTTCATAGCAGCAATGTCCACAATAACCAAAATATGGAAAGGGCCCAGATGTCCAACGACAGATGAACGGATCAAGAAAATGTGGTGTACACACACACACACACACCAGAATATTACTCAGCCATCAGAAAGAATGAAATCTTGCCATTTGCAATGACATGGATGGAACTAGAGGGTACTATGCTAAGTGAAATAAGTCAGCACTGAGTGTTATGTGCAACTGATGAATCACTAAATTCTACCCCTGAAACTAATAATACACTATATGTTAACTAAATTGGATTTAAATAAAAAAATAAAAGTACATGGAACTCAGATATGGTTAGCAGAACCGCCGGATCAAGCACACACTGAGATACAAAGATTTGAGTTTAGTGTTTCAGACTGAACATTTCTGGTTAAGATACTACTACCCTAACTGCTTGAAATTTAATTTAAAAACACTTATTTTTGGTCAAAGAATTCCAACAAAAACTTGTATTAAATACACATATGCAAGAAACAATAAACTAATTTGACTTAAAAATGAAGGAATCAGTCAATGGGAAAATGATTGGGTAGGGAACTGTGTCCAATTAGCCAACTGGATACAATTCTTTTTTTTTTTTTAAGATTTTATTTATTTATTTGAGAGAGAGAGAATGAGAGAGAGAGAGCGCATGAGAGGGGGGAGGGTCAGAGGGAGAAGCAGACTCCCCACCGAGCAGGGAGCCCGATGCGGGACTCGATCCCGGGACTCCAGGATCATGACCTGAGCCGAAGGCAGTCGCCTAACCAACTGAGCCACCCAGGCGCCCTGGATACAATTTTAAGACATGTTTTAACATCTCTGAAATTGAGATATATCTTATATGGCATCGATCACAGCACATAACAGCAGTGTGTGGTTATGTGGAAACATTCCATTGATACTTTGTGGTAAGATCAAGCATCAAGGCATCTCAGAGTAAACAAAACATGCTATTATACAAACTTAATTATAAAACCAGTTGTTTTTCTTTAAGACCCACAAACACTAAATCTACTGAAAATCTGTTCAGCTAGAGAGAAGTTTTAGAGAACATCAAAATTGATCAGTCTTATTTTGCCTTACTCTTAAATTTTTCTCTGCAGGCCTTTTGGGAATTAAATTTGACAAGTATTTATTCTGGGCTATCAGAAGATGGCCAAACACTAATCCAGTCATTCATCTCCCTCCCTGTCAAAACATTAACCAAATACAAAATAAATAAATAAATAAACCTACAGAAGTAAACAGAAAGTAAAAAGAGGAAAAGGATTTCAAATATAAATATAAAAGGCACACTGAAACATATTGATGGATATAGCAACAGCTCAGAGTAAACACAGGCAGACATATAGGAGAGGTACATTTCTTAACAGCCAGAATAATGGAGCTAAGCAAAAAAAAAACAAAAAAGAAAACCAGGGGTCACTGTCTATAGAGATATGAACTACCTACCTGAGAGGAAGGCTGCTAATGTGAAGGTCAGCACTCCAGAACACAGGTCTGCCCAGGCAAGCACTGTGGGAGCAGATGAGGAGAGCAACCTAAAACGCTAACTCTGCAACTCTGGACTGAGACATGCCTGCTGAAGAGACCTCACCCTCAGCACACAGTGAGCTCCCCTTGGTCAGCCTTTCCTCTCAGGGGAGGCACATCTCAAGAAAAAGGACTAACACACTATAGGCAAGGATAAAAACCTGACTGGGGGCGCCTGGGTGGCTCAGTCATTAAGTGTCTGCCTTCGGCTCAGGTCATGATCCCTGGGTCCTGGGATCAAGCCCCGCATCAGGCTCCCTGCTCTGCGGGAAGCCTGCTTCTCCCTCTCCCACTCCCACTGCTTGTGTTCCCTCTCTAGCTGTGTCTCTCTCTGTCAAATAAATAAATAAAATCTTAAAAAAAAAAAAACAAAAAAAACCTGACTGTAGCTACCCAGAATTATCAAATCAAACCTTCATTCTTAAATATGGAAGTACCATCCAGATGTATAATGAAAACCAAAAGCATGAAGGAAAAAAACCAAGTATAGGGAGGGAAAAAGAAAACTGACCCAGAGAAAATAATTAATTCAGAAGCCAGGAGAGAACTTTAAAAACAAACTTATTGCATCTGTGAAAGAACTCAATGCTGTGAAATGGTAACCAGAAAATATAGCAAGCACTAAATTAAAATGATCAATGACAACAAATAGAAAGCTATAAACAAATAAGTGTGTGTGTGTGTGTGTGTGTGTGTGTGTGTGTAAACACAGAAAGTAGAAAATGGGGACAAAAGAACACTGAAGACACATGGCTGGCTATACTTTTCACCTATGGTCAACAATTGTTGCTGCTGAAGATCATCTTACTGACTCAAGCCCACTACCCCATGCTGGTGATAGCCAGTTTCTGTTATAAACATAAAGCAGGCGCCTGAGCAGGTCATCCTCTATTAAAGGTGTTTAAGTGAGTTAATTTAACTAAAACAGACACTTTTTTACAGAATTATATATCTTTTTCCAGTGATGTATCTTTAGAAATTCCACAGTTCCTTTAATGGTATGAGACAGACTTGTCATCAAAACAACTAGCAGAAACAATCTCCTTCTGCAAGGTAATTTTTACTATTATTTTCCTTAAAGTTACTTGTGCTTTAAAATATTGAACTTACCCATCCAATGGCTTCAAACATTTTCAAATCAAGGGGATCACCAGAAAGCACTCCTTCAATCTTTGTGAGTGAATGACAAGTAGCCATACAAGCAACAAACTGAGACTTTACCAGTATCTCATTGCAAACATTTTCTTCTGGCAAAAGGAAACTAAATAGAAAATGCACTGAATTAGATTCATAAATCCTAAGACAATAAATATTCTATACATACTCAGGTTTTATAAAATTAAAAAATGGAAATAAAATGTTTCCATTTTCTCTATAGTTTTTGGCATTCAAAAACGTTTTCTTCCATGTAAATTATACATAACTAAAATACCATATTACCTAAGATTCTGAATAACTACACTAGACAAACCAACACAGAACATACTAGACACCAAATAATAATTAAAACTCCTGCCTATGGGCATATGATAGATAAGAATACATAAAAATCTCTTTTGTAAAAACACAAAATGAATGTGTAACACATAATCTTTTCAAGGGGAAACCAAGCTCATAATCAAGAAAAGGAAATGTTCAAGTGCCAGAAATGGAAGGAAAGGAAAACCAGAGGAGTGTGAACCTGAGTGACGCTGACTGCCTGAGGGAGAAGGAAGAAGGGAAGGGAGCCAAGTCAGTCCCCTAAGGCCCCGGGGCTTTAATACCCACACAGAAACAGAAGACAAAGTCCTGGCCAGGTACAAAGTGGGGAGTTCACACTGAGAGGATCTCTTTCACTAAAAATAGCCAGTGCTCTTGAAGAGCATCCTTGGAAAAAAGGATATACTAAATAAAAGAATGGAGCATCTTGGAAAAAGAATATACGAAAAATAATTTACCTACAGACCCAAAGGCATAACTAAGAATAAGCTTATCTCTTTTTTTCCCCACCCAAGGTTCAAGAAAATAGTATCTGTACATACTTATTAAGTGCTAGGCACTGTTCTACTAACTTTAAACATATCTGATTCATGTCCTCCTCACACCACAGGAAGATGTTTTACTGTCCCCATCTTATGGATGAGGAAACTGAAACAGAAGGCCAAGTAAGTTTCCAAGGTTACACAGCGCCATTAAGTGGCAGAACAAGCATTCAAACACAGAAGGTCTGGCTTTAGGGCCTCGACTCCGAACCATGACACCACTCAGGATAGGATCCGGGTTTGAATACACACTGCTGCAGGTCCAGAAATCCTCAGGTTATGAAAGTAACATGAGAGCTCATCTGGCACTACTGATAGCACTCTTGGCCAAGCACAGTCAAAACTCTCCATAGAGGAGCTCCCACAACACAACCACAAAGAAATCTCACAGAAAAATCCTGCTAAGCCTAAGTCCATAATTTAAAAATGCACTGGGAAACATTCCCATGGCTCAAGAGACACAACAAAGACAGAATTAGAATCCCATAAATTTGAGATAATAGAATGGCAGTCTGAAAGAGTGCAAAAAAAGGCACCTTCAAATTAAAGACTTAGAAAAAGAACAAGATACCATGGGGGGAAAGGAGAAGAGGCAGCCTTGGAAAGAACCAAATGCAGTTTCCTGTTTGACCTATGGTCAGGATTCCCAGATGGAGAAAACAAAGAATGGAGGAAAGGTCATAAAAAATAAATAAATAAATAAATAAATAGGGAAAAAAGCTGCAATTCTTCCAGAATTTATGAAAAGCATGAATCTTTGGAGTCAAGAAGCAAATGAGTCCTACACAAATAAAGAGAGACTGCAAAAATCAAGGATAAGGAAGTATTCTTAAAACAACAATAAGAAAAGGAGTAGGGAGAAACGGAATCACACCATCAAAGTGCTGAGAGAACAGCTGACACCCTGGAAAGCTATGCAGCTATGCCATCCTTCAAAAGTGAAAATGGAAGAATAAAACTAACAAATGTAGCTGCAGAAGAGGGCAGTGCAGTCTAGGGGAGTGGGACAGAAGCAGCAGTGGTTGGCAAAGATAGTCCTGAACCTAGGGAATCTCAGCATGCAGACAGTATAAAACCTAAGTCTTAATCATAAAATGCTGTGCAACAAATACATATAAATAAGGGAGGGGAATAATCAAAAAAGTACTCTACAGTCCATGGGTTTCCTGGGGGATTTAGAAACCCAATAAAGACACCCATGAACTTTACACTCTAAATACAACCGTTAAATAATTTAAGGACAAGCAGTAAAAGATTAAAATGTATAAATTCTGAGAAAATGTACGAAAATATGAGAAATTTGAGAAAATGTGTGTGTGAACTGGGGCAAGAATTGCAGAAATAAGTTCCAATATATCTGAAATTACAAATGTGAATACAATGGCACAGAAAGATTAAAAAGTAAAGCAATGGAAAAGAAAACACACTCAGCAAACATTAGACCAAAGAAAGCTGGTATGTGTAACCGTAGAAATATAAGATGAAATGGAATTGAAGATAGAATGCATTAGGGAGAAATAAGGTCACAATGTCACAACACTATTTATCAAGAAGATGTAACAACTCTGAAATTACATCAACCAAACAATATTCTCTCCAACTATAAACCTAAAACCCACAGACTTCTGGGGGGGGGGGGGAATTACATAAACACAACTACTAAGCCATCAAAAGACAACAAAACAAAAGTAAAAAGACAGACTGCTGGAATATTTTTGCAGTGCATAGTACTGAAAAAGATTACCACCCAAAAATACAAAGGACTTTAGTAATAAATTAGTAAGATAAAGACTAGGAACACAAAAGAAAAACTGTGTCAAGGTATAAACTGACAATACACAGAAGAATGCTAAATGACCATCCTTCCAAAAAGGTGAAAATAAGATCAGCTTATTAAGTACTGAGGAAACTGCAAAGAGCCACAATGAAAGACCATTTTGTATCTATCCATGTGGCAATAATGAGAAGTCTGACAATACTAAGTCTGGCAAGCCTGGAGCAACAGGATCTCATTCGTACTGAAGGAGAAAGTATGAGCAGCATCACTTAGAGAGTAACTAGGCAGTCCCTACTAAACCTGTAGCCATGCAGGTGCTATATAACCCAGCACTGACATCTTTAAGAAGCTAGTTTACTGAAACTCAACCACATGCTCACCAGGAGTTGTGTAGAAGAACTGCAATTGCAGCCCTAGTTGTGAAAGGGGAAAGGGAGAAAACAATGAAATTGCCCCTTCGTAGAAGAGATACTATGGTTTAATCCTATCATGGAATATTAAACAATAGTTACGATTAATAAATTAAATCTATATATACCAACCTGGATAAATCTTGAAAACAATGTTAAAGAGGCAAAGAAACAGGAAAAACATGTACGGTATATCAGTTACGAATGTTTATTTACAGATAGGTCTTGTTTAGAGACAGATGTGTATGTAGAGAAAACATAAAAACATGCAAAGATAATAATAGAACACTTCAGAATGATCGTAGGGATACATTAAGACTTGAGCAGTATCTGCGATATTTTAAATCTTTTAAAAGAGATCTGAGCCAATATGCAAAATGTCAACTGTTTAATCTTGGTGTTGGGTACACAGCTGTCCTATTACTTTACGTTTGAATGTTTCATATATTAAGATACTTATTAAGTAACTAATAAATGATCAAATCTAGCTAATATTTACCGTGTATTTTCCACTCGTTGAATCCCCCAAAGATCTAAACCATCTTCAGTAAGAGTTCCAGTCTTTAAAAAAAAAAAAAAAGCACACATGTACGAAGTACGAATAATGCCTCCAAAAACAGAAATCACAAAAAGTTACGCTACATATACATAATAAAATAGAATTCAGCTGTCAACAAAGGAAACTAGTAAGATCTCTGTATATTGATAAAGAAGAACTTCCAGGAAATAACTAAAGTTAGGGAAGGGTGCAGAACATTCCTTACAGTACGGTTCCTCTGGACGGGTAGAGGGAGCGTATGTGTAGAATCATATGTTTATGTGCTTGTATTATGAAAAAAGCAGAACAATGCACCAATCAATCTATCAATCAATAAAGGCCTACATAGGAAGGAAACATTAGGACAGAGGGAGCCAAAAAGGGAAGAGGAACAAGTTAAATGACACCAAGAGGAAGCAATCGGCTAAATTCAGGATGTAAATGACCTGGTTTCTTCAATAAGATGGTTCAGGACAAGGGGCAAGAAAAGCAACTGTATAGATTAATTATAACCAATGCAATCATTATTTGGATTCTGACAGAAAAAAACAAATTGTAAAATTTGGGACTTTTTGTGAAAGACAAGGAAATCTGAATGAGAACTGGGTATTAGATAACACCAAGAATTATTAATTTTGTTAAGTGGGGTAAGATAATGGTACTGCAGTAATTTTTTTTTTTTTGACATCTTCTAGAGATAAAACTGAGGTATACTGGGTGAAAGAATGTCTGATGCTGCCACCTTCAAAATGAGGGGACAGATGAAGTAAGACTGACAAAATGCTGATTAACTGTTAAAGCTGGGCAATGGGTAAATGAAGGCATTTTATACTTGTATCTTCTCCACTTTTTTGACTGTTTAAAATTTTTAACAGTAATGTTTCCCAAAAAGGCGTAAGTGAAATTTTCCAAACAAATAAATATGAAATGTAGTCATGGGATATGATTTTTTTTTTCAAGTAATCTGTATGCCCAACGTGGGGCTCGAACTCAAACCTGGAGGTCAAGAGTTGCATGCTCCACCGACTGAGCCAACCAGGTGCCCCAGAATATGACTTTTTAAAAAAACCAAATGTCTCACATTTTTTCCTTCAATAATGAACATGCACAAAAATCATATACCTATCATATCAGTTACCAAGAAGAGCTTGATGGGAGGTTTCTTGGTCAATGTTTAATTCTCAAAATAAAAGTTTTAAGAAAACTATTTTCAGCAGAGGAAAGGAAAACCCTCTCTGTAAGAGGCAAGTAATATTTCACACAGGTACATAATTTGTCACTTTCACATAAAACCGTAAAATCAGTGACCTTCATAATTTTGAAACATATTCAATAAAATCACAGAGCAAACTTTAAACATATATACATAATAGTAATACAATTCCAGTAAATATATCTGTACAGAGCTTACTCTGTTAAAAACATAAAAAATCATATAGTTTTTAAGACTACTACAAGGCATAATTCTGGATATGAATGATTAGACAATTGCAGATGTGGGCAAATAAGCAATATCCGAAGTATTAAAAATTGAAAAAGAAAAAAAGAAAAAGCAGTGAAAAAAATATACAAAAATGATGCATGTGCCAAGAAAGCTGAAAAAGAGGAATATCAGAAGAACACTAAACAATGAGTGTAAATTGGTTGATAGAGAATACATACGGAAAACCTTTAAGTATTTAAAAGTTCTGACAGTAACTTCTGAGAATGATTACAAAACTGAACCAACCTTGTCAAAGCAAACGAGATTCAGCTGTCCACAGATATTTATCCTTTGGGGACTGATACAGAAAATCCCAACGTTTTTCAGTCTTCGTTGGGCATACACAATACCGGCTGTCATCGCAGCAGGCAGTGCAGGTGGCACCGTAATGGTAATGATATCCAGAGACTCAATAATTATTACCCCAATTTCTACCTACAATTAACACAAAATAAATGTCAGGACCACCCCCATATCAAATATTTACTCATCTAACGTGGGTATTTTAGTGAAGAATCCATAAACCATTTTCAATTTTATATATCAAGGTGTATACAGTTATATTCATCAACCATTTACAATTCTTTTCCCTTTAGAGGCTGCAAAATAGGCGGCTCAGTGAATTGTCAATGGACTGTGGAATGAAAGCTATTTTTAAAGGAAATTTCCATTTTAAGAGCTCTACATGCATCACACGCTACACACTTCAAAGTTCAATACACATTTATCAGATATTGACTCTCACTATCAGCACCGTACTATGCCCATCTCTAAAGGGGATTTCAAAAGAAAATTTGACAAGGTCTCTTAGAAGTACCTTCAATTAAGTAATCACAAATAACTTCAATGCTGTATATCCCAGAAGTTAAAAAAAAAAGAGAGAGAGAGAAAACAAAGCTTTTGGGGAGTATGAGGTCACCCCTCCCTTTTTTAAGTCGTAAGAGAACAAGAAAAAGACCACCTAAACCAGAGCTGTCCGAAGAACTTTCTGCTATGATGAAAATGTTCTATATCTGTACTTGATTCTAAAATAACATCTACTAGTTTCATATAGTTAATTAAGTATTTATTTATTTATTTTTTAAAGATTTATTTATTTGAGAGAGCGAGAATGAGAGAGAGAGAGTACATGAGATGGGGGAGGGTCAGAGGGCGAAGCAGGCTCCTCGCTGAGCAGGGAGCCCAATGCGGGACTCGATCCCAGTACTCCGGGATCATGACCTGAGCCGAAGGCAGTTGCTTAACCAACTGAGCCACCCAGGCACCCTCACATAGTTAATTTAAATTAAATCAAAAGCTTAGTTCTTCCTTCTCATTAGCCACATTTCAAACCCTCAGCAGCCACATGCCATCATTAAGAATCAAACCCTGTTAAAAGTTTACCATTTACATACCTTATTTAAAATGCTATTGATAATAGTGTAGATAAACCCAATACCAGCCACTGCCACAAGACACAGTAGAAACAAGTAGGCATCTCTGTAGAGTTTAAAATCAGTTGGTTTGGGATATAATATAGAACGAACAAGCTGTCCTTTGGAAGTACTAAATCCTTAAAAAAAAGTTGAAAGAAGAAAATGAGAATTATCTCCCAAAACAGAATCTCTTTTTAAACATTCAGTAGGCATCAAATACGCTAACCCATGCAAGAAGAGATGAAATGTTTTCTACCTGTTCTAACTACTACAGCTTTGACAAGTTCTCCAGTGTAGAAACGAGTTTGAATTACAGTAGTCCCACAAAACAAAGTGTGTCGTTTATGTATTTCTGGACTATAGAATTCATCTCCCATTCCTTTGATGTCCACTGAAGGATTTGGCAAATTAGTTTTTGTCACTGGAACACTCTCTCCTTTAAAAAAAAAAAAAAAACCATAAGTTAAAGCACAGAAATCAGTATCAAACACACAAACCTTGAATTGTTAAATAACCTAAATGTTATTATACTATTTCAATAGTTACTAAGAGTATGTGGATAACAAAGCTTACTCAATTAGCTTTCTGTCTACCAATTTCCTTGCCCCAAAATATCAAGTCTTGTCTCTCACAATAAGTCCTGAAAGTGAGTTATGAGTCAAAATAATAATCTGGAAATGATTTTGTCAAATTTCAGATAAAAAGACCAGGTAGCTGCCACAGCCCCAGCATCTGTTCACTTATCCCCAAAAACTGAACTGGAAAGTACTCTGCAACCTCAAGCACAGAGATGTGAAGAAATACTCCTAACCACTATCCACATACACGTGCACACACACACACGGAAGAGAAAAGGCATCTAGGAAAGGGAGTGGAGAAAATAAGTAGTATGGTAGTTCTCTCAACAACAAACTGCCAAACTCTCTTCAACATTAAATTTTAATTCTCTGTAGCATTCACATTTCTTGTTTCAAAGGTGGCAAGTATGTGGGGATATTTGTGTGACTGTGTTTTAAAAGAAAACTCTTAACAGTTTAAAAACATAGCAATCACTTCTTTCCAGATTGACTCTGACAAAAAATAAAGAAAACGCGGTAAAAAGGTATCAAACTCTACCTTCAGATTATGAATTTCCAAAGGGAAGTCATTTCAAAGTCTACTTCCCCCCCGTTTAAGGAAAATATATAATCTTTATTCCCACTTTTTACACATCAAATAGGGAAGTAAATATGCTGCCATTCTCTGCAGGCAAAGGACTTATTTCCTCTTCTCTTACTATAAAATATTTCGTCATGTCAAAAGAAGTATGCCACAAAATGTAGTGAACACCAGCATAATGATTTAGTATCACAACTGGGTATAATGCAGAATTTGGTCCCCTCAAAATAAAAAAAAAAATCTTCATTATCCATCACATTCATGACATTCGTGAGTAAATATAAGCAATACAGTTTTATAGTTATAGATACAAGATAGTTTTTAAATAGTTTAATCAGTAACTACTTAGATCTTAGTATCATTAAAAACAACTGATCTGATTTTTACTCATTTAGTTTACCTGTTAACATGCTTTCATTTACAATGCAAGTACCATTAATAAGAACGGCATCACAAGGCATGACTGTCCCATTCAATGGAATGACCATAACATCTCCTGGCACAAGGTCTGTAGAAAAGATCTCTTCTATTTCTGGATTTAAAGAAAGAAAAAGAGAAGTCTGAATATTCTTTAACTTGAAATAAAAATAGAGTAAATAAAAGATTTGCCTGAAGGTCACCTGACCTCAATACTAAGTCAGAAATATAATGTAGTTAAATAGAACAATCTCAATACACGAAAATAAAACAAGTAAGATTATTATGCCTTAGGGTAACAAAGCATGGTGTTTAAGTATGTCAGGCAGTTTGTCCCTGATAGGATGCCAACTGCACACAGGTGATGCCAAGTCCCTTCCTACCAAACAGGTGGCTGGACTTCAATACTCAGTACAACAGCCCTCTTAGAAAACAGTAAGTCCACACATGAGATGCCCTGCAATAGGTAAATAAGCTCAGATTTCTAGAACTCCTTGGAAACAGAGAAAGCATTGAAAATTTTAGTGTATTTTTTTTATTATTATTTTATTTACTTGAGAAAGAAAGCATGAATGGTGGGGGGAGGAACAGAGGGAAAGGGAAAAGCAGGCTCCCTGCTGAGCAGGGAGCCCGACACGGGGCTCGATCCCAGGACCCCGAGATCATGATCTGAGCTGAAGGCAGACACTTAACCAATGGAGCCACCCAGGCACCCCAGTGTATTTTCTTTTTTAACAGCAATTTTTTTACACCATCCTTTTTCTCCCTGGCACTATTTATAACTCGTAACATTTCAATCCTTCTCAGTATTCCTAAGACAGTCCTCATATTTTAGATCTATTTTAAATAAATTTACAAAATAAACATTGCAATATTTTATCTGGTTCATTATTTCCTTAGAAATTTGTACATTATATTCAATTCAGCTAAACACTTTTTAAAAAGGTTTTCCCAAAAGGAGGTTTTTCTTTAAGACTACCTTCCATTTAGACTCTCATTCTTTCCCTCCCTTAGGTTTAATACTATGCTCAGAAAAGAGTTCTGGTAGTTGGTAAGTAAAGAGAAAACTATTATTTGTGATGTTAGTCTGTAGGACAAAAACTCTTTCCCTTTCTTTTCCTTTAACTAAGCTATGAGGAAACAACTTCTAAAGAATTCTAATGATATTAAGCACATACTAGGTATAATACTTTTCATTTTAAATAAACTTTGACTCTTTCAAAACTTTAATGCCACTTGAAAGTCTACTGCTCTCAGGTATACCAAGAAACAAAATACCAATGACTTGTTAAGACTTTACAAAGGGGTAAGGAAGACACGAGTTGAATGCAATGTCCTGGCATCCCCAGTGCCTTCAGCAGCAGCAGATCAGTAAGAGGATGAGCACCAACAGAGAAGAGAGATACTCCCAACTAAAGCAGCAAGTGACCAGGAAGCACAGGGAAGGAAGCACCTGCCAGGCCAAACTGTGTTTATGCTTGGATGTAGCGTACTGAGCCAAGAGAATGGAGACCGATTTAGTATTCTCAATCAATCAAAATGGCTATTGCCTCCAAGGCCCATGCTGTTGTGTTGTCTCTCCTTTATGTCCTTTACCACCTCTTCAATACCACACCAGACAAACTAACGTGTCCAAAACATTATCCTTTCCTACAATACTGCTTCTCCTCCAGTGTTCCTCATTTAATTAAATGGCACCGATGCCCATCCCTCAAGCCTGACACTGCTCTATCACCTCACATCCAATCAATTATTAAATCCTGTTCGATGCCCACATTTAAGTATCTCTCAGCCCCATCTCATTTCTCTCCATCTCCACAACCTTCACCTTGATCCATTTCATGCCTTCAACATTAATCTCCTCTAAACCCATCTGAACACAACAGCCAGAATGATTTTTGCAAAAAGGCAAACACCACCCTTCAATGGCTTTCCATTGCCTTTTGGAATGAGGTAAATTCCTTAATATGCCTTAGATGGCTGTCCATCATCTAGCTGCTGCACCTGGCACACTGAATTCCTTTCAGTTATTACAATGACTGAGCTCCCTCTCATTTCCAGAAGACTGGGCAGTTAAAACTCTTTTCTCTCCCTCTCTCACCGCCCCCCCACCTACCTCTTATCTGACTAATTCAACCACTTAAAAATACTTTCTCCAAGAAGCCATCTCTGACACCTATAGTAAATGAGCTCTAATATCTAAATTCTCTGACCTCTCCTAATCATAGCATTTGTCACACTTTGTTACTATGCCTTTCCAACTAGACTGAAGTCCAATGATGACAAGCACTGTGTCCATCTTGTAACCACTCCATCTCAAGAGCCAACCACAGTACCTGTCACATAGTAAGAAATAAAAATACCATTTTATAGGAATGAATCAGTTACAATCTCAGAAAGCAGTATAATCCAAACACTTATTTTTACTTCTTAAAAAATGAATGTATAGGGGTGCAAGGGTGCCTGGGTGACTCAAGTCAGTTAAGCGTCTGACTTTGGCTCAAGTCATTATCTTGGGATCCTGGGATCCAGCCCCACATGGGGCTGCGTGCTCAGCGAGTCTCTTTCCCTCTTCCTCTGTCCCTCCCCCCACTCGTGCATGCACACAAGCTCTCTCTCAAATAAATAAAATCTTTTAAAAAAAATGAATGTATATGTATATGAGTCTTGCTTTAGTTATTAGTGCTTAATGGGTATCTTATTTGCTTTATTTTTCCAAGAGTTACCTTAAGTACTTACCTTCATTCACTCTGCAAACCGAAACTCTCACAGTACTGTGAGCTGCCACCATGTCATGCAACATAATATATTGCTGAAATAAAAAAAAAAAAATTTTAAAAACTAGCTAATATAAACCCACTCTTCAAGACATTAAAAGCAAGGGTGCCATAAAATAAGGTAAGTTAATATGGTAAATGCATATTACTCTGCCATTAAAAATGTCAAGACTAAAAGATTCAAAGATTATTCAATGATTAGCTCAAGACAAAATAAGAAACACTTTAATGACACAGTCCTGAAAACAATAAAATAAACCCTCCAGTATTCCAGTCTGTGATAAGCACTCTATGGCCTCTAAGCAATCAAGTGGTAGTTTAACTCTAAAAAGCATCCACCTTCCCCCACCTCGAAAAGAGAGGGAAAGGAATACATATTCATATAACCCAAAAGAATAACTATATTGAGTATTACTTTGTACCAAGTACTATTCTATACACTTTACACTGTTACTACAAAATACAGTTGTGAAAGCCATAATAAATTGGACTTACCTTCCTAATGGAATACAGAGAGCTTACAATTGACACTATAGACATAATCACAATGGCTAGAGCATAATAATAGTATTCATCAGTGCTCCATAGTACAACACTGAACAGCTGGAAAATGTAAAATGGGTTGAGAACCTAAAAAACAAGATTTTTAAGTCAAATTTATAACCATACAGATGTTCCACCTTTTCATTTAAGAAATAAAACAACAAGATATTTAGAGGATAAGCTCTGTAAGTACCCTAGGGCAACATGTACTACCAAAAGAGCAGGGCAAGATGTTAGCATAGTACTTTTTTACCACTAACCTACCAGGATTTGGCTAAATAAGCTTAATTTAAATTATTTGCATCCATTTAGGTACATACTAAACCCAATATAGACTCAGCTAGAAATAGCTAAAATATGTGTATTTAGCTGTTCTTCATTCTGCTTTAGCAATAAAGTACATTTACTTCCAATAATTACTGGGCTACTAAAGGATATAAAATTCTTAATTAAATGGAACAAATGTTTACTTATTATGAACTCCAAATACCAATTATCCTATAAGTCAAAGGTTCACTGGAGTCTACAGGGAAGACAAATATGAGATAATAAGTTACACTGTTTTGCATTCTCTATGGAAATAATTAAGGATTAAAACCTAAACGAGAAAAAGAGATAAGGGAATCCTGGCAATGGACTTTGTTTAGCCAAATTTCATAATATTCTACCAATTTCAATAACTTCCCCCAAATGTCTTAAAATTGATGCTTGTATGCTTTTCAAAGCACTTTCACATATACAGTCCCATTTTACTTTAAAATTAAACAAGATAATTTGAAAGGACTTACTCCAATTTTAAAGATAAAAGAACAACAGAAAGGTTTTCTAATGATCAAAGATAGTTACTGATGGAATTATATTACAAACTAGACTTTCTAAGAATAAATATGATAAATTGTTTTAAAAAAATTGAAGAAAAGAGAAAAGACAGGTGTATACATCTGTAAGATAGGGCAAGATTTACATGTGCAACATACTGAGAGTAAAAAAAAACTCTACAGACAAGAAAAGCAAAACAAATTAATAAGGTAATTAATAAAAAGGTAATTTAGGGGGCGCCTGGGTGGCTCAGTTGTTAAGCATCTGCCTTCAGCTCAGGTCATGATCCCAGGGTCCTGGGATCAAGCCCTCCATAGGGCTCCCTGCTCAGCGGAGGGTCTGCTTCTCCCTCTCCCTCTGCTACTCCCCCTGCTTGTGTTCCCTCTCTCACTGTGTCTCTATCAAATAAATTAAAATCTTTAAAAAAAAAAAAAAAGGTAATTTAGGCCCCCAAATTATTTCTCTACCAGAGTTACTACCTTTACATTTCAATTAAAAAAAAAAGAGTGAGGCAGACACTAAGAAAAAGAAAACCAAGAATACATTACTTAAATCATGGCTCTTTTCAAACTGACAACTCTATTGATCACAAATGTTGTCTTACCTCCTTAATTAGAAGCTTAAAAACAGAAGGCACTTTCACAGTAATTTCATTTACTCCATAAAGCAATTTTCTATAACAGGAAAACATAATAATAGTGTTACATTATATTATATAATAATAGTATAATTTAGGGATGGCATTTCATTAGATAAGGTTCAAACCACAGATTGCTCTTAAATCTGGAACTTAAACATTCATGTTTCTACATATTTGTCTTCTACAGTTCAATTCTCTACCTACAGTACTTAAAGTAGTCAATACTGGATAGCCTCATATCTTTTGGTGTGACAAGTATCTTTCCCACTAGTCTATAATAACCATGTCTGCAAACGCCTTCTTTTTCATCCTTGAACATGGCAGGAATCAAAAATTTTGAACTGCAATTAATTTTTGCAAGAGACTAAAATATATTTGAGGGGTCCTGTACTATTTTTCTAATGAGAATACTACACTAAGAATATTTATTTCAAAAACAACTGTACATTTGACTTTTTTTAAAAAAATGCTTTCAAAAACTTGTTTAAATCCTTCCAACTTAAACTCCTGGTAGTACTTTCAATATGAAAGAGTAATGAGCAATTCTTGCCTTTTATGACGTAGAAGTCTGAATGAATTAATTTTTTAATATCCTAACCTGTTGAAAAAACATGCTACAGGAGTATAAAAAAACTGCCAATTTAATCTGAAAATGACATTTATTGTCAAAATATGTAATACACTGGTATATTTTTATACTGTAGCGAAGAATAACATGATAAAAAAGATTATGTGTTCCAATTTACAAATACTCATTGTGGTAAATTTTTAGCTCATGCTTACAATTCCCAATACATTTCAGAAAATCTAAGATGCTATCAATTGTAAGACATACTCATTATTTTATATGCCATCAAGATAAAAATGCTCAAGTAAAGGATAACACTCCACCCAATATGACACATCCCTCCTTTAAATATGTTAAAATGTGGAAAAATGTGCACCTCAGAATTGATGAAATATGGTATATTTTCAGGGATATCAACTTCAAAATTCCAGCTTTAACATTTTCGTAATTCTTAAACCAAGAGACAGTCTTACCCAAATAAAACATGAGTAAGTTGTCAACTACTATGTCTATAATAAATACCTGTTAATACGTACAACTATATGGTAAAAGGGTGGACTATATATACTACTTTATTTAGGAATTTTGATAACAGATCTAACTTTAGTTGGATAAAAATTACCTGTAGGCATGCATCCCTTTTGTCAGTCCTGCACTATGCTTTTCATAAATTGACGTACAAGAAACACCTTCATCCAGTCCCCTAAATAAATCCAAAGTTTTTACTTTAAACAAAGTTTAAAATATCCAAATGTCTTAATGCCTCATTTTTCTATATTCCTGATTTTAAAGCGTGACTTCCTTACAAATAGAAACCCTTAACAAAAACTGAGATAATGAATGAGAATTTTTAAATCTCAAATTCCTAAGATAAACAATAATGAAAGTTCTAAGTCTCAAATATGCAAAATTCTAAATTATCCAATGTATCTATCACATGATAAGATGGCTCTAAATACTCAAGTTTATATAATAATATTATCCTTTAAGTCTGTACCAAAGCTGTAAGAGCTAATAATTAAACTAATAAAACTAAAGTATGACTAACTTGAGAATTCCAAACTAAAAATAAATTTTTTTTCTTTTTATCTATATAGTTTTCCCTCTTCAATTTTTTAAGCTTCATGCTAAGAAATCCTATTCATTGATTCTTCTTTCTACAAAAGCATCTAAATCTGTCCCTGTTCTAATACAAACCTAGGAGAGAAGTACAGAATTTATGAGTCACAGGCATTGCCTAAAATCTGTAACAATTCTAACTGGATTCAACCAACAGATCTACTTTTCCCCCCAAAATGTCTTAATTATGCTTATTTTAACTGAGATACTGGCCATAGAACTCTAAAGAGAGTCTTATATATCACTGAACTCCAATCCTTTTCTACTTTTTTCAGTTAGAAAAACTAAGCTCCATAATTAACAGCTATCATTGGGATAAGTTTAAATTCTGTAAGTTTCTACAGTTGGCAAACACCACATGGCAAACAGGTTTGAGATTTTTTTCCCACTTTAGTTGGTAACTTCTCCAAAAGCAGCAAGGATCAGCTCCAAGTCTTTTTTTAAAAAACAAAATGGCAGGTCACTGGCAGTGTTCTATAAGGCAACAGTTCTTAATTAGGAATGGTCTTCAGAACTAGGCATGTAGAAATGCCCGGGGCTATTCCAGAATATTCCAATTCTTTAGTGTCTGAGGAAAAAAATCCAGGCATGAATATTTTAAATGTTCATAAGGTGATTCTCTTTGTATTGCTAATATTAAGAATTCCTTCAGCATTCAAGTAATGATACTTAATGGGTGTTTATAATAATCACTTTAACAATAGCAATAAAAATAGAATCCTAATTAATCTAGTACTTACATAACTTGAAGCCTCCACAAAAAATAAAGTTTAAGGGATTCCTCCAATTTGTCGTACTCAAGGCTTAACACATTTGACAATGTCTGAATCTTAATCCACATAGTAAAGTTAAATTTCTATTTGTCTATTACTCCATCCCTCAAGGACAAATAGATGGAACTGTCAGCAAGTTGGGAAATGAGAATTCAGATATTCTGACAGGCTATAAAGTGTACTCAAAATTCACTTTGAGATGAACCCACAAAAAGAAAAGAACCCAGACTCTGAGTGGATTTGGAGAATCATACTGTTTCAAACTTTAATGTAAATTTTGCCAAGGTACAAGTTACAAGTAGGATTTATCCTAAAATGGTTAATAAGTATTCAAGTAACACTAGAGAGCTGTTAATAAGTGAATAAAAGTTATGCAATAAATACCTCTTTGATTTTATGTAACACTACAATTAATTCTTTTTTATCTAGAACATTTTCAAGACATTCATTACATAATCCACACAACAGAAAAATACTTACTTTAAAAAATCAAAATTGTGAAGGGTATCATTCCAGAAGTATTTTACACTGTGGTGGGTGAAATAACGGACCTGTAGAACACACATAAATGTTACATCAAAAAGCATTATCATCATTTGTTTATGATTAAGTTCACTAACACAAATATATTACCTATTAAAATTAAAGTGATCACATACAAATGCAATCTGCTTCTTCTAGTGTACCTAAACTGTGTTATATATAGTAATAAATATTTTATATGTGTATGAATTTATCCCAAACAAAAATAACTGCATGCACAAAATTGTAGGCTATGATGGCATAAAATGTAAGAATTCTGGTTTTCAAAGAAACTTTGACATTAAGATCACAATACCTGTTGTGGTTGAGTCTGTGAATATTTACTCATTTCATGCCTATTCTCTTCAGCCAAATTTTCAGTTAGATGAACAGCATGGCCATTTGAAACTTTATTAGTCACAGATTTGGGGCTCAAAAATGGGTGAGTTTCCAGAGAAAGAAAGCGAATTTTTGCACAAAACCACATTCTGAATTCATCCTTACAAGAGAGAAAGGGATAAAAAGTCTATTATGTATATTGCATAATGGCCTATATACACTTTTAATTCCCATTCTTTACATATTATTGATTTGTCTCTGAGAAAGCATCACTTCCTACTCACTAAATGTTAAACCATTTCATGAAGATGTATAAATGCTTTCCATTGACCATTTTATGACATACTTCACTAATACAATATCCCATGCAAGATCATGAGTAATTTCTTAATTTAACCATCAACATACTGAGACTAGAAATTAAAGCCTCTGAGGAAACCATCAGCAAAATGAAAAGGCAACCTATTGAATGGGAGAAGATACATGCAAAAGATATATCTGATAAGGGGCTAATATCTAGAATGTATAAAGAATTCATATAATTCAGTAACAACAAAAACACAATTAAAAAATGGGCAGAGGATGGAACAGACCTGTTTCCAAAGACATAAAGATGGCCAAGTAACAAAAGATGCTCAATACCATGAATCATCAGGGAAATGCAAATCAAAACCACTGTGAGATATCACCTTGCAGCAGTCAGAATGGCTAGTATCAAAAAAGAAAAGAAGTAACTCGTGCTGGTAAAGGTGTGGAGAAAAGAGAACCCTGCTGCACTGTTGGTAGGAATGCAAACTGGTGCAGCCACTAAGGAAAAACAGTATGGAGGTTCCTCAAAAAATTAAAAATAGAAATACTAAGAGACCCAGTAATCCACTTGCAGGTATTCACCCAAAGAAAGCAAAAACACAAATCCAGAAAGATGTATGCACCCCTATGTTTACTGCAGCACTATTCACAAGAGCCAAGAAGATAGGGAAGCAAGCTAAGTGCCCACTGATACACAGATAAAGAAGATGTGGTATATATATTTACAATGGAATACCACTCATTCATAAAAAAGAATAAAATCTTGGGGCACCTGGGTGGCTCAGTTGGTTAAGCGACTGCCTTTGGCTCGGGTCATGATCCTGGAGTCCCAGGATTGAGTCCCGCATCAGGCTCCCTGCTCAGCAGGGAGTCTGCTTCTCCCTCTGACCCTCCTCCCTCTCATGTGCTCTCTCTCTCTCCCATTCTCTCTCTAAATAAATAAATAAATAAAAACTCTTAAAAAAAAAAAAAAGAATAAAATCTTGCCATTTGCAACAACTGGATGGACCTAGATGGTATTATGCTAAGTGAAATAAGTCAATAGGAAAAAGACAAATACTACAACAAAAACCAAAACAAATACCAAAAACAAAACAAACAAAAACAGAAATAGACTCATAAATACAGAAAACAAACTGGTGGTTGTCAAAAGGGAGGGGAAAGGAGGAATGGGTGAAATAGGTGAAAGGGAAAAAAAGGTACAAACTTCCAGCATAACAGAATTAGGTCATGGGGATGAAAAGTACAGCACAGGGAATATAGTAATATAATAACTTTGAATGGTGACAGATGGTCACTACACTTACTGTAGTGAGCATTTTATAATGTATATAAATGTCAAGTCATTATGTTGTCTACCTGAAACTAATATAGTATTTTATGGCAACTCTACTTCAATTAAAATATATATGCAACAAAAAAACCCCAAAACGAACTCATAAAGACAACAGATTAAATGGTTGCCAGAGGTAAGGGTTGAGGGAGGGTGAAATGGGTAAAGGTCAAAAGGTATAAACTTCCTGGGGATCTAATGTACAGCACAGTGACTATAATTAACAATACTGTAGGGTATATCTGAAAGTTGCTAAGAGAATAGATCTTAAAAGTTCTCATCACATGAGAAAAAAATTTCTGTTAACTGTGTACGGTAACAGATGTTAACTGCAGTTATTGTGATTATTCTGCAATCTACACAAATACTGAATCATTATGTTGTATACCTGAAATTAATAAATGTCATGTCAATCATACCTCAATAAAAACAATTTCTTTAACTAGAAAAAAAAAAAAGGAAAAAAATTTAAAGCCTCTGATAAAATGCTTCCAATTAAGATAAAAAGAAAAAAACAGGGAAGCAGCAATATCACATAGTAGAAAGGCAGCTGGTCTAGTGAGTAAGATCTGATACAGTCCTCAAACTGGCTGGTGACCTTGACAGACAAGCACCTAATCTCTCAGTGCATCAAGAATTATAAAAGGAAGGGGTTGATACAATCATCCTTAGGATTCTTTTATATTCTAATCACTATCACTTAGAACACAAGTGCTTTTAGGACTAGTATTCCTGATTATATCCATCAGTGATATTCTCCTCATATATTATTTTGAACCAAGTACACACAAAAGCATTATATTACTTTTTGAATAATCAGCTCCCAGTAAATACAAGGACTTACAGTAGTCCTCAGCAGCACCACTTCACAGTCTCTAATTGCAGCTCTAATACAGGTCGCCTTCACCCGCCATTCGGGCATCCAGTAGAGGAGGAGGAGGAGAAAGCCACCAGTGCAAACCACTCCTAGAGAAACTATGGCAAGCTTCCAGCGACACAAATTATAGCCATAAATCTCCTGCATGGACACGGTGATCACACAATTGAATATCAAATGATAGGAGAGGTAACTGCCAAAATTTTTTGTTTTCCCGATAAGTATTAACAGTCTTATCATATAAAAGGTAGGCTTTTTTTTTTAAATAAACTTTTAATTTTGGAATGATTTTAGATTTGCAGAAAGTTCCTGTATACCTTTCCTCTGGTTTGCCCTGTTAACTTGGTACATTTGTCAAAATCAAGAGATTGACACTGGTACATTACTATTAACTAAACCTAGTCTCTATTAGAATTTCACTAGTTTTTCCACTGTCTTATTTCTGTTCCAGGACATAAGCCATAATATCACACTGCATTTAGATGAAGTAAGTTTTAACTTTTTCTCCCAAATGATTAGCTAATTGTCTCAATACGACTGTGACTGATCAATTTGACTTCTTGAGGCCAATTATTTCAACTGTTTCAGTTACTGCCCCCCCCACCATAACACAACAAGGGTCGCCAAATTTAGCAAATGAAAATGCAGAGGGCCTAGTTAAATTTAAATTTCCATAAAAAATTAATTCTGCTTGCCCTATGCTATATTTGGGGACATGCTTATATAAAAAAATTTATTCCTTGATTATCTGAAATTCACATTTAATGGGGTATCTTATATTATATCTGACAACCTTATCTCCCCCCTTCTACACACAAAGGGCTGAAAAGTTGGGGTTTTTTTTACATTTTTTATAAATCAGAATTAGAAATCTTACATTTGGGATTATATTTAAAACATTGACTAACGTAACTTCTTAAATTATCAAATAAAAATGAAGCATACTACTCTCCTCTAAGTATTACAGTTCAGTCAAACAGGAATTATACTAAAACCAACAAATAGAGATGTTACATAATCCCAATTCAAAAATGCAGTTGGGATGAGGAAAGCACATTGATTTAGTGTTTTGTTGTTGTTTTGTGTACTTTTCTACTTCCCTGGAGTAATAAATTACAAAGATAAATTCTTCACACTTAACAAATAAGTTACAAAAACCGGTTACCATTTCATCTTCTTGACCCTGGTTGATAGTCTTCCTTTCTTCTTTGTCCATATCTACAGTGGTTTGATAGGTCTTGTGCTTCAGAACAGTTGAAGACAACTGACGGGAAAGAAGAACAAATATTAGGGAATTCTGTTGTATCTTAGTAGACTATATAACTTCATACTGTAAGACTCTGTTGTGATGTATGTATCAAAGTTTAACTGATATTTAAGTACTCACTAAAGTGCTGACTGGTTTTAATTACATTTTCAATAGTGTGCTAGTTCTGATATATACGATCACAAAACCTGGCATACTTCATCAATTAACTTATACTAGCAATAGCCTTGGTACAAAACAATTTAAGTTCTGCGAGAAACTACTACATAATCTTCCCTTTTCATCCCCCAGACTCAGATAACATATCTAGTTTAACCATCTTGAGGTAAAAGTTCTTCACACAACTCAATTTATTGCCTGAAGTATAGTGAAAAGGTAAAGCACCAGCAGTGAAACCAACCCCAAAACCTCTCCATGATTATTAAATTAATCATCCAACAAATATTTACTGAGCACCTTTTACATGAATGGTAATCCCTGGCCAAGAGTCAATTCCTAAAGCAGATGTATCCTTATTAGAGATCACTCCCCCATTCTGATTCCAAGTCCACTAAGCAATCTTCTAATTGTTTGACTACCCATGATGCTTGTCTAGGAGAAAATTCATTGAGCTCATTGACAAATTTTTTTCCTGTATTAAAAAAGGAGACTGGAGGGGCGCCTCGGTGGCTCAGTTCATTAAGCGTCTGCCTTCGGCTCAGGTCATGATCCCAGGGTCCTGGGATGGAGCCCCACATCAGGCTCCCTGAGTCTGTTTTTCCCTCTGCCTCTCCCCACCCTGGCTTGTGCGCTGTCTCACTCACACTGTCTCTCTCTCTCAAATAAATAAATAAAATCCTTTTAAAAAGGTACTAGCTTCAAATATTAGACATTCAGCCACACATTAAAGAGATTTGCAAAATGTAAAACAATGCCAGTTTCCTTGTGATCTTTATTGTTTTTGGAAAATAGGTATTTTTCAGAAAAGTATTATTTAATCTGTAATAAGCTTATTACTGTTATGGTTTATTAATATTGAGTTAATATGCTTAAAGATATATCAGTTTTAATTAATATGGTATCAACAGATATAACTCACATAAACAAAAGCTCTTCAGAGGTCACAATAATTTTCAAGGTTATAAAAATGTCTGAGACCAGGGGCGCCTGGGTGGCTCAGTTGGTTAAGCGACTGCCTTCGGCTCAGGTCATGATCCTGGAGTCCTGGGATCGAGTCCCACATCAGGCTCCCTGCTCGGCGGGGAGTCTGCTTCTCCCTCTGACCCTCTTCCCTCTCGTGCTCTCTATCTCTCATTCTCTCTCTCTCAAATAAATAAATAAAATCTTTAAAAAAAAAAAATAAATAAATAAAATCGTTAAAAAAAAAAAGGAACAAAGCTGAAATATTAAAAAAAAAAAAACCCACATTATCTGATTTAAAAAAAAAAAAACCGTCTGAGACCAAATAGCCACTGCTGTAGGCTAGGCTGATCTCTGCAGAACACAGTGGGAATATTACACTGCTCTCATTCCAGATGCCATCCTTCTACTTGTCTATCCAGTGTGTAGCACAGGTCTGACACATGACAGACACTCAGAAAGTAGTTGTTGAATAAATGAAGGAAGATTTTGTGCTAAGATAGCCATAGTTATTTAATGTTTACATGAAATGAGTTAAATAGCCAAGTAAAACCAATTGCAGAATTTTAAACAAATCTAGGGATGCCTGGGTGGCTCAGTCGGTTAAGCCTTCGGCTCAGGTCGTGATCTTGGGGTCCTGGGATCGAGTCCCACATTGGGTTCCCTGCTCAGCGAGGAACCTGCTTCTCCCTCTGCCTGCCGCTCCCCCTGCTTGTGCTTTCTCTCTCTCACTAATAAATAAATAGAATCTTGGGCACCTGGGTGGCTCAGTTGGTTAAGCGACTGCCTTCGGCTCAGGTCATGATCCTGGAGTCCTGGGATCGAGTCCCACATCAGGCTCCCTGCTCGGCAGGGAGTCTGCTTCTCCCTCTGACCCTCTTCCCTCTCGTGCTTTCTATCTCTCATTCTCTCTCTCTCAAATAAATAAATAAAATCTTTAAAAATAAATAAATAAATAAATAGAATGTTTAATAAAAAACATTTTTTTAAACAAATCCATATATAAGAGTACTGAAATCTCTTGATTTATATCATCAACAAAATGACCAGTAAAAAATACTGATGCTTCCTGCACCAGCACTCGAAGCTTCTGTACCTTCTGGTAGCCCTGGAGATGGGGGTCAGGGCCGAGTGGCATTTCTACAGAAATAAAACACAAAACTTTGATTACATGCACATATGTGTGTGTGTGTGTGTGTGTGTAATATATAAGTTATGTTACATATATTATGTATATTAATAATACATTATATGTAACATACCACACACACACACACACACACACACACACACGCCATCTTGGAAATGAAGTCTTAGAGGTATCTGGTCCAACATCTCCAAAATAAGCCACATCATCATACAAAACCCTGTGAGGAAATTAGTAAAAATTGCTTCTCAGTCTAGGGCAGTATTACAGCTATGAAGCATATTACTGGAGTCATTCCACCACGGTAAGCCTGATTCATCAAATCAATATGACTTGAGGTGGCAGTTATTCTCAAGGGCCATTACCTACTGCTATAGACTACCGGGAGAATGAGCAAGCCCAACCTCTTTCCCTGCAGAAAAGATCAGCTATTGTTGACTGAGTCTGGGGAGACACCAAAGTAGGCAGGTCTGCAAGGCAGATTATCAGTAAAGACATTGGTACAGAGAAAGAACACCGAAAATATCCAAGATGGTCCCCCTCAAGTCTCCAGCTGAGTACATCAGCGCATGTGTGTGAGGAAACTATTGAAGGCCAGAGAAAGCACCAACCAAAAGGATTAAGAGGAAAAACTCATCAGGGCTTACACAGAGCTGAGAAGAATGCCTGTTCCTTCCTACCAACCCACAGTGGAAAACCTCATTTATCACAAGGATTCAGGAAGAGCGCTCAGAGGGGTGTTGCTTCAGTAGTGGGATCAAATTAGCCCTAAGCTAAAAGGTACTCTGGTCCTACATAACAAAACTCTTAAGACATGAAATAATAAGGGTGCCTGGGTGGCTCAGTCGGTTAAGCAGCTGCCTTTGGCTCAGGTCATGATCCCAGGGTTCTGGGATCCAGCCCTGTGTTGGGCTCCCTGCTCCATGGGGGATCTGCTTCTCGCTCTCCTTTTGCCTCTCCCCCAGAATGTGTGCTCTCTCTCTTTCTCTCAAATAAATAAAATCTTTTTTTTTTTTTAAGATTTTATTTATTGAGGTGCCTGGGTGGCTCAGTTGGTTAAGCGACTGCCTTCAGCTCAGGTCATGATCCTGGAGTCCCAGGATCGAGTCCCGCATCGGGCTCCCTGCTCAGCAGGGAGTCTGCTTCTCCCTCTGACCTTCCCCCCTCTCATGTACTCTCTCTCTCTCATTCTCTCTCTCAAATAAATAAATAAAATCTTAAAAAAAAGATTTTATTTATTTGTCAGAGGATGGGGAAGCATAACCAGGGGGAGCGGGAGGGCAGAGGGAGAAGCAGACTCCCTGCTGAGCAAGGAGACCAATGCGGGACTCAAGCCTAGGACCCTGGGATCATGACCTGAGCCAAAGGCAGATGCTTAACCAACTGAGCCACCCAGCTGTGCCAATAAATAAAATCTTAAAAAAAAATGAAATAATAAATTGTTCCCAAATAACAGCTTCACAAAATAAAGCTCAAGGAATTTATAAGAACACAAAATATCTAGTCCCAATTAAGTAACAATATCTGACATCCAATTAAAACTTAAAAGGTATGAAGAGAAAACCCATAATGAGAAAAATTAATCAGTAGAAAAAGACCAAAAACTGACACAAATAATAAAACTGGTCAACAAGGACATTAAAACAGCTGTTGTAACTGTAGTCCATATGTTCAAAAAGCAAGATAAGCAACTGAACACATTAAGTACAGACATGAAAGATATAAAAAAAAA